CCCAGGAGGACAGCCCCTAGGAGAAGCCCCCGGTTATACCGAGCCGCCATGACGAGACCGTAGGGGGGGGAAAAAAGAGAAAGAAATTTGGGGGGGGGAGGAAATAACGCAGGCGAGCCTGAGAAAGAGCAACCCAAGCCCACCGACACGGCCGAAGAGGCGACCGCTGACGACCGCCGCTATTAACACCGAGAGTGAGGTCACGTGACCGAATGACGTCAGCCTCGCCCCAGCGGCCTCCTCTGCTTTCGATACCTCTCTGTCACCTGACCTAAGCCCCGCCCAACTCCCTTGGGCTGCGAAAAGGGAGAGAGAAAGAGAGAAAAAAAAACTGGCGGAGGGAGGTTCTCGCGATAATACGGCGATAAGAGAGGGGTGGGGGAGAGCGTCGTAATAGCTTTCAAAAGTGCTCTCGCGCTCTTTCCCTCCCTTCCCTTCGCTTTTTGCGTCCCCCTTCGACTCTCTTCCGTTTCACTTCAGTTTCATTTTACGACCCCTAGGATTGTGTGAGGTAGAAGCCTTGGCATTATAGAGGAAAGGTGAAAGGTTAGGCTCTTCCAGTCAATAACATTCTGCTCCTAGGTGAGAGTAGCCGGGAAGGCAGGCTGGAACATGCCAGAGGCCGGAGGGAGGGAGGGAGGGGTGTGTGGAGACCCTCTCGCCAGGCGCAGATCCGTCATTTATTTATTTATTTAATTTATATGCCGCCCACTCTACCCAAAGGTCTCTGAGGTCATGAGGCACGTGGGTTCCCATACTGGCGATAATGTGTAAAGTCAATCCTTGCTGACTCTCATGGCGGTTTCTGGGGTGAATTCGGTAGACTGACGACTTTGCTTGAGGGAGGCTTTGTCCTGGGTTGCCACCCTCCGGCTTCTTTAGATTTATTTATTTATTTATTTGATATCCCGCCTATCTGGTCGGCTAACAACATAAAATAATACAAAAGGTATATATACATATATATAAACAATATTTAAATAGCAAAAATATTAAACAAGGTAGGGGAGACAATAGGAAGGAAAGAAAAGGGCGTCAGGAATTATCTGATGGGAAGGTCTGCCGAAACATTCATGTTTTTAATTGATTCTTGAAAATACCCAGCGAGGGGGCCACGCGAATCTCAGGAGGTAGGTTGTTCCAGAGGCGAGGAGCCACCTCCGAGAAGGCCCGGTTTCTTGTCTTTTCCTTCCGGGCCTCCCTCGGCGTTAGGCTCCTCAGCCTCGCCTCCTGGCTCACGCGAGTGACACCGGTAGATCTCGGTGGGAGGAAAAAAAAGATAGTCCCAGTTTACAGCATGATAAGGAGCTTGCTTCCTACGCCCAGACTTTGGGATCCTATCAAGCTCCACAAGCTTCGCCAAGGCTGAGGGGTTTGCCTGTACGGTATTTAGAAGGCCAGCTTGTCTGCTCCAGCCCCCCCCCCTTTTTTTTTTTGCAACAGGCATAGGTTTATGGCTGTCCTGTCAACCCCACTGCATAGGCCTTTTTCTAATAACCCCAAAATATCGCCTTACAAGTTGTTGTATTTGAATCGTATTTAAAATATACATATTTTCCAAAAGTGGATTAATGTATATCCACCACGATTTGAAATTGGCACCATGATTTGTTCCAGATGAAGCAGGTATTTGAACCAGAACTGCTCATTCTAAAATCAGCCAATACTTCAATTAAGTCAGAAATTAGCTGAACTTGCACGGCTTCAGACCTTGTAAGATTGTACATGGAAATCCCTGAAAATGTACCAGCACACACAAGGAAGACACGTTTAGCCAGAGTCTGTGTTAAAGCAGCCTTGATTCTGAGCCAAGGAAATGACTCAAATATGAGAATTTTTTCTGCTGCTGTTAATTCGCACTAGTGTGAGATTCAAAGGAAGAACATGGGTGGATGGTACAAAACAAAATCTCAGCCAGGGGAGAGGTCAGGGAGACTGTGATTAAAAGCAATGGATTTTTGACCTGCTGCTGCAAGACCTGTTCTTGTGGCAACTGGAATACAGAAGTAGCAGAATACAAATAAAAATAACGCCCTTTCCCAGCTCCACCTTTTTCCCAGCTCCACCCCCAGCAACCAGCCTAATGTGTTTGCTGAGCTCTGTTCCTGCATGATTTTCAAGGTCTGCCTGTAGCATTCACAAAACAAGGCTAGTTTAAACGTTTAGCAAGATACAAACTTTAAACATCTGTTTTCATCCCTACCTGCTAGTACTGCATTTAACTAACATATAAAGATAAGTATGTTTTGGGTTCATGTTTGTGTATGGAATGGACATTGCGTCTCTTTTTAAACCCAGCACAGAGTTGCAAATCAATTTTGCTGCTGTTGGATTTCACAGTAAACTAGCACTTTCTACTCTGCACCCTGCAAAGTAATTTTTTCAAATGCTGGAGTTTACCAAGTACCAGCTCTCTCACCCTCTTCCCTGATTTCTCTCACACATAAAGTTTGCAAATGAAGCTTGTCTGCTTCTTTAGATTGCAGAAATAATCTGCAAGTATTTAAACTCCCTTTCTTCCTGCTGATCTGCTCATCACACTTTCTGGAACCAGAAAGTGAAACTTTCCCAGCTTTGGAAAGTTCCTACTTGCCAGAAAACAAATCTGCTAACATCTTGGTGTTAGGCAGGTGGTTCTGTCTATGGCTGTATCTGAAACCACATTTTGAAGAGGGCTTCCAAGAGAACAGTTTTTAATACGCAGTGCTTGGATTTCAAACTTCATCCTGACTTTGTTCCATGGCTATCACCAGTTGGTGGAGACAAATGCAAAGGTTATTGTAAAGTGTGCTACAAAACCTCTGAACTAAGTAATATGGGAATTAAGAGCTGTGGAGTTTTCATGCACAAGGACTATTAGTTACATCAGAAGAACCTGAAAACTAAATCAGGTCAACAGTCCATCACAACATTTAGGTTCAAAGCCAAGTACAAGTTCAGGCAGTAAAACCAGAGAGGGTGAAGAGACAGCCCCTGTGAAAACTGGAAAATGATCAGAATTACCCACCACACAAACTAGTATTGCTGCCTATGTAATTGAGGGCTGTATTAGGACAGCAGAGTGCCTGTGGGCTTTTCAACTGGTGATGAAGAAGATGTCATTTAACTCTTGTAACAACATCAGTGAGTTATTCAAGTGAATGTTCTCAGCTCAACAGTTTCATCTTGGAAAAACAAAAGCAAGGTATGTTGTTGCCTTTGTCTTGGCACCATATTCCTCTGATCTTTACTGAAACAGCTGAAATAATGCCAATCATTTGTTAACTGTTTTGATGAAGCTTTGAATAAGGTGGTTCAAAACAGATAAATTTAGTGGTTCGCTTTTGGGATGATTACTGACGTAAAGTTTCCACATGGTATCTAATCAGTGTTTTTCTTCAAACTGCTGCTGCTAAAGGCCTTCTTCAGAAGTTTCAAGAAGGCATGTCTTCTTTCTCAGTTGCAAAATGGATGGGCCAAATGTAAATCATCTTTTTCTGAGAAAGCTAAAAGAAGAAATTAAAACCAACCTTGACAGCAAAGGAGAAGGAAAAGAACTGATTAACTTTAGAACTTGTACCCTTCATGTTGTACATGGGTCTTTTAAAACGAACGGGATTGCAAGCAGTGAAATGGGACTTGAACTGAGTCTTGCGCAACATGTATTATCTGTTTAAAGATTCCCCAGCTAAGAGGGCATCATATGCTGCTTTGACTGAAAGCACACTATTTTCCCAGACGTTTTGCTCCACTAGGTGACTGGAGAATGTTAAGTGCCTTGATAGAGCTATGACTGTTTGTGACAACATCAAGAAGTATGTGGAAGAAGCAAAACTCCCATGCCGTAAACCTACAATTTGTATAAAAGCTGCAGTGCAAGATTCACTCATGAAGTGCAAAACGGCTTTCAGGAAAACAATTGCTGGAGATTATCCGCCATTTCTACAGAGGTTTCAAAACCAAAAACCATTGGCACATTTTTTATATGAAGAACTTTGGAGAATGGAGTGTGGTATAAAATAATGAAAAATATGTCAGCAATAGAGATGGGGGTATTTGTATTCAAATACGAATATCCTTGCAAAGCTGGAGTTAACAAGACACACGTCTGCCAGTGCTGCCAGCCCTGCTCATCCTTCCAGTCGCTCCCAATCACCACTCTCTTCCCAGTCATCTAGCCATTCCTGGCAGAGGAAGAGAGGATAAGTCTTCCTGCAAGGCTGCTGAGTGGCTAGCTGAGTGGTGCTCCGGAACAACTGGAAGAGAGGGGCCGCCACCACTGCTGGACGTCTGAGTGGACAGTCTGGCCCCAGGGGCCGGACCCTCATTAACTCCAGCTGCGCTGGGATATTCGTATTCATATACAAATACCCCCATCTCTAGTCAGTAAGAATTAAAAAACCTGTTATAAGGCAGTTCAGAAATGGTATTTAACGCCTGTTAAATTAAATATAATAAAAATTTATCATCTCTGTGTTGGAGATGTAAGAATGAGTAGACATGGTCTAGAGGGGCGGGGTAAAAATCAAATAAATAAAATAAAATAAATAAAATAACGAGGAGACATATATGCGTATGTGGTGGTTTTAAGAAATTAGAAGGAAAGAATGGAGCTTGGTTTTTAATGAACTAAGAGATATAATGGGAATTGATATACAGTTGTCTCCAATGGTTGCCTTATTGAACATTGTTAATGATAAGTAAAGAGAGAAGAAAAAGGAGTCAATTACCATAACTACAGCAAGGTTAATAATAGCAAGATTAATAATTGCAAAGAATGGAAAAGTGACATATCAATATGGAGGAATGGTATTGGGAGATATGGAATATGGCAATTAATGGTATAGAGCAGTGATGGTGAACCTTTTTGGGCTTGCGTGCCGAAACTGGGGGGGAGGGATACAGTGGGCGGTGGCAATGGCAGCACTGGAAGTAGCAACGGAAGGGGGAATCCCGGCACCAGCTGCTCTGGATCTGCTGCCAAAGCGCCAGCACCCGGGGCTGCAGCTGCCTTCTCAGGTTTGGCTGCGCGCGGGGGGGGGAGTAGCGATCTGGCGACTTATGGCTCACATGCCGGCAGAAAGGGCTCCGCATGCCAGCTGTGGCACACGTGCCATAAGTTCGCTATCGCTGGTATAGAGAGATATGGAATATGGCAATTAATGATAAATTGACTTGTGATATGAAAATTAGAAAAGGTGTGTTGAAAAAAAATGATTTTAGAAAAATATGGAATCGATTTCTGGAACATGTTCTGTTTAAAGGGAAGGCATACG